TGGCTGCAGTCACCATCTGCAGTGATTTTGGAGCCCGAAAAACTAGTCTGTCACTGTTTCCACTGTTTCCCCAGCTATTTGCCATGAAGTGATGGAACCGAATGCCATGATCTTAGTTTTCTGAATGTTGAGTTTTAAGCAAACTTTTTCACTTTCCTCTTTCACTTTCACCAAGAAGCTTTTTAGTTCCTTTTCACTTTCTGCCAAAAAGGTTGATGTCATCTGCATATCTGAGGTTCTTGATATTTCTCCCAGCAATCTTGACTCCAGCTTGTGTTTCATCCAGTCCAACATTTCTCATGATGTACTCTTCACATAAGTTAAAGAAGCAGGGTGACAATATACATCCTTGATGTACTCCTTTCCCAATTTGGAACCAGTCTGTTGCTCCATGTCCAGTTCTAACTGTTGCTTCCTGACCTGTATACAGATTTCTCAGGAGGCAGGTCAAGTGGTCTGGTATTCCCATCTCTTTCAGAATTTTCCTCAGTTTGTTGTGATCCACACAGTCAGAGGCTTTGGCATAGTCAATAAAGCAGAAGTAGATGTTTTTCTTGAACTCTCTCACTTTTTCAATGATCCAACGGATGTTGGCAATTTGATGTCTGATTCTTTCAGCTTGAACATCTGGAAGGTCTATTGAACCTTGTACTCATGTACTATTGAAGCCTGGCTTGGAGAATTTTAAGCATTACTTTGCCAGCATGTGAGATGAGTGCAATTGTGCGGTAGTTTGAGCATTCTTTGGCTTTGCCTTTCTTTGGGATTGGAATGAAAAATGACTTTCTAGTCCCATGGCCACTGCTGAGTTTTCCAAATTTGTTGGCATATTGAGTGCAGCACTTTCACAGCATCATCTTTCAGGATTTGAAATAGCTCAACTGGAATTCCATCACCTCCACTAGCTTTGTTCATAGTGATGCTTCCTAAGGCCCACTTGACTTCACATTCTGGGATGTCTGGCTCTAGGTGAGTTATCACACCATTGTGATTATCTGGGTCATGAGGATGTTTTTTGTATAGTTCTTTTGTGTATTCTTGCCACTTCCTCTTAACATCTTCTGCTTCTGTTAGGTCCATACCATTTTTGTCCTTATTGATCCCATCTTTGCATGAAAAGTTCCCTTGGTATCTCTAATTTTCTTGAATTATAATTAGCAATAAGTAAATATTTCCCTACTTGGGCACTCTCAATGCATTTTAATGGTACTCCTTGATGGTCCTTATCATTTTTTTCCTTTTATCCTGGTTTTCCTCTCTATTATATTATGGAATTGTATTCATCATTTTGTAGCTTACAATATTACCTCAAGAAAATTCTGCCCATAAAAATATGAGTAAAACCAAGTTATTGAGCTGATCTTTATCAGTGATTCTTATCATAAACAAATACCCCCAAATTTGTCTTCACCTTCACGTTAGCCAAAGTAAGATTTGGTGAAATTGACTATTTTTTTTTAAAGTCATAGTTCAATTAGCTGATTTATCCTGTATGTATATGTAGTTTTCCAAATTTATTTGGGATCATTAATGTTCTATGTGGTAGGGAGAACTACAAGTTTTTCAGGACTCATCATATGTTAATGCTTCCATAATATCTTAGGACTTTAAGTGTCCTTGTAATATCCAAGTTTGGCAGTAGTATCCTCCTCAGTTGCATGCACGTATGCTCTCCTTTGGAACTTTGTAAGGTATATAGAAAACTGCTGCCTGGGTTACTGTTTGACAGTGGGTGTTTTTCCTACATATATTGGCAAGATCACTTTATAAAGCAGGGAAGCCTGGCATGCTGCCATCTAAAGGGTCACAAGGAGCCGTACATGACTTAGTACTAAATAACAGCTTTATAAAACATTTCTTCACAAATCCTCTTTTGAGCTCATTAAATACTTCTTATCTTATTGATCCATTTATTAAAAATTGGTCATGTTATACCATAAAGTATTACTTCATATATGTATGTGTATATATATATCTATATATACATATAGACACGTAAGCTGATTGTCCTCATGGGGTGATTTTGTCTCTTTCTTCTAGAAGTTAGACTGTGGTCATTGTTCCTTTCTTGCTTACTATAAGAAATCTAAACACAATCAGAATTTCCTCAGTTTAGCCCTTCTGTACAGATTTGATGGAATCATGGGGCTAAATCACATTTTGGCATTTGACTCCTATAATCTCACCATGGCTTTTTCTTCCTCAAACTATCTCTTTCCCTAGAATATCTTTAATAATTATGCACAAAATAGCATGAATATTCATAGCCTCCAACTTCCTCTTTGATTTCTTGTTCATGTCAGCTGTTAACACTACCACTGTCCACTTTATTTTGCAGAATAATGTATCCAATATCAGATTCTATCCTAAAGCTTTCATACCCATGCCCTTTCCATTCCTCAGAAAACTAAGATAAAATAATAAACACATATAGCTACTCTGAAATATCACATCCTAGAAAACAATTTTATCGTTTTATTTTTTATCCTCCTTATTGGATTGGACTTACTTCAAGAGATTGTGTTTTACTTCTCTACATCACAAATAGTTCTTTGCATTAGATAAAAACTCTACTACATGTTATTTGGTTTATGCAGAGAATAGAACATCTGGGGAAGTGCATTAGTGAAAGCAATGTTTCCTTATCTCCAACACTTCTGAAATATTTTGTATAGTTGAATTTTATCTTATTGGAAAGAGAGAATCTGGTAGCTCATTTTGTTAGGAGTTTTTATTAATTTTTATTTTTTTTCATTTATTTTTATTAGTTGGAGGCTAATTACTTTATAATATTGTAATGGTTTTTGCCATACATTGACATGAATCAGCCATGGACTTGCATGTGTTCCCCTTCCTGATCCCCCCTCCCGCCTCCCTCTCCATCCCATCCTTCTGGGTCTTCCCAGTGCACCAGCCCTGAGCACTTGTCTCATGCATCCAAACTGGGCTGGTGATCTGTTTCGCCCTTTATAGTATACTTGTTTCAATGCTATTCTCTCAGAACATCCCACCCTCACCTTCTCCCACAGATCCCAAAGACTGTTCTGTACATTTGGGTCTCTTTTTCTGTTTTGCATATAGGGTTATCATTACCATCTTTTAAAATTCTATGTATATGCGTTAGTATACAACATCTATGTAAGCTCACTTGGCTTGAAGCTCCTATAGGATGGAGACTCGGTCTATTTCATCTTCCCTATGGAAGCTCATGGGAACTTGGAGGCAGGAACATCAGAGAACAGTTGTATGAAAATGCTACAACAGAAATAGCCTTTCAGGGCTTGAAATATTAGACTCCTTCTTGGAAAAAAAATTAAAAAGGAGTCTACTTTCTAGATGCAGAGAAATTCTCAGTATCACAGTGGGGCAAGGTAACAGACATTAATTTCAGCTCTATAAATAGTTGAATAAACCTCATCAAGTGAATGGAAATTTTGACCTTCTTTCTATTTTCTAAGAGACTTAGTTGTCCCTATCAGTCACTGCAAGTTAAGCAATATAATTTTATATTCTTCTTTTCAATGGAAGTGCTTTACAAATTGTAGGCATTCATTAAATATGTTAAACATCATTTTATACAATTAAGAATATATTGAGCATAAGTAGAGTTTGAAAACAGAACAAAAAGTCTCAAGTTTTGTCATCATGTATAGGGAAATCAGCTAATGACATATGGTTTTCAAAAATCGGGTATATTAATGGGCGTGGATAAAACAGTGGTAAAGTATAATAAAAGTGAATTTTTACTTAAATCATTTTGGTATATATTGCAGTCATAAAGGTATTTAAACACATTGTGGGTAATATAAGAAGGCAGTTCAATTTTAAATTCAATTTTTATATAATAACTCTGCTACCTATAGAAAATTTTGATTTATTTCCAGAGAAGTAAAATAATCTCTTTAAATTTAATGTTAGTATAAGCATGGAATTCTTCAATTAATCAAGTGCATACTTTAGAGAAACAGGAATATATCTTGACATGTTTTAAAAATATACAATACATAAAGATTGGATAGCAATGATAAAATCTTCTCATTTATTTTAGATACACATTTAACATTATAAAATATCTTGTTAGATTTAGAAGATAATGTTTGCACTCTGAGCCAGTATCTATTCATATGATGAAAGTAAAAACCACCTTCACTGTTTTATACTGTAAATAAATTGAATTATAATGATTTTCATATTGTCTATTAATTCTCAACACTCCTAGATTCTTACATATTATTTTAATATGGTTTGTGGTACCTAGAGAAGCCACTGTAAATAAATAAATATTATTCATTTTTATTTGAAATCAAATATCAACCTTAAAATAAAATGACTGAAAGGACTATGTTAATCTTATTCTCTTAAGCAGAAATAAATATACTAAGTAATCCAAGCTCAAAGATACTGGTCTATGTCATTTTCAAGCGATGAAACTAAGCATGTGGTAGTGAGGCTGATGATTACACAGTGTGGACTGTTAGTGTCAGATGAGAAGAATAAGGTTATTAAAAACCCTTTGGCTATATCCATGTAATGTAAAATTTCTATCCTCACACTCAAACATTTCTTTAAATCAATTGACTGTAGGTTAGCTTACTGATGTGGTTTAAATCAGGAGGATATCAGAGATGTTTATATCTGTGACCTTTTTCTTGTTAAAGAAATGAGAAGGAGCAGGGGATTGAGATTTTAAGGATATGCAATCGTTATTCCTGAGCGTCCTTGGTGGCTCAGTGGTAAAGAATCTGCCTGCCAAGGAGGAGACATGGGGCTTAGAGAAGGATATCACAACCCACTCCAATATTCTTGCATGGAGAGCCCATGGACAGAGGATCGGGCAGCTACAGTCCACAGGGTCTCCAAAGAGTCAGAAATGACTTAGCTACTAAACAATGGTTACTGCTAAACTCTTATGAAGCTTGACTAAAAACTATAGGGAAGATTTTGATTTCTATATTGTTGCCTCATTTATGGTTATTTTCTTGTCACAGATAAAAAATAAGATGAAACGAGAGCATCTTTTCCATTTTGTAAGTAATAAGATAAACCCTCTGCATTTCAAACTTCAATAAAAAGACATAACACTTACCCTCAATTCAATAATTATCTTTTTGTTTTCATCATTGTTCAGTCACTAAGTTACGTTCAGCCCTTTGTGACCCCATTGCAAATTAAAACATGAAATGTTCTTGTCTGTTAGATTGAGAAGGTTTAAAAGATGATTGTTAACTAAGGTCAACAGTAGTATGAAAAACAAAAATTTCAATAAACAGTTGATGACAACACAAATTAGTTTAATAGTTTGGGAGAGATTTTGGTACTATCAATTAAATTTTGTATAGGTATAGTTTTTAATAATGCTATAATTGTTATTATAGATGTTCAAATGGTATTAGAAAAATCAGAGGAACCAGAGATCAAATTGCCTACATCTGTTGGATCATAGAAAAAGCAAGAGAATTCCAGAAAAAAAAAAACCCTATTTCTGCTTCATTGTCCATACTAAAGCCTTTGACTCTGTGGATGACAATAAATTGTGGAAAATTCTTAAAGAGATGGGAATACCAGACCACATTACACCTTCTGAGACACCTGTATGCAGGTAAAGAAGCAATAGTTACCCGGACATGGGACAACAGACTGGTATCACATTGGGAAAGGAGTACGTCAAGGCTGTATATTGTCACCCTGCTTCTTTAACTTATATGCAGGGTACATCATGTGAAATGCCAGGCTGGATGAAGCACAAGCTGGAATCAAGACTGCTGGGAGAAATATCAATAACCTCAGATATGAAGATGACACCACCCTTATGGCAGAAGGTGAGGAGAAACTAAAGAGCCTCTTAATGAAGGTAATACCAGAGAGTGGAAAAACGGCTTAATACTCAATCCTATCACATCATAGCAAATAGATGGGGAAACAACGAAAACAGTGATAGACTTTATTTTGGGGGGCTCCAAAATCAGTGCAGATGGTGACTGCAGCCATGAAATTAGAAGACGCTTGCTCCTTGGAAAAAAAGCTATGATGAACTGAAACAGCATATTAAAAAGCAGAGACATCATTTTTCCGACAAAGATCCGTCTAGTCAAAGCTATGGTTTTTCCAGTAGTCATGTATGGATATGACAGTTGAACCATAAAGAAGGCTGAGTGCTGAAGAACTGATGCTTTTGAACTGTGATGTTGAAGACTCTTGAGAGTCCCATGGACTGCAAGGAGTTCCAACCAGTCAATCCTAAAGGAAATCAATCCTGAATATTCATTGGAAGGACTGATGCTGAAGCTGAAGCTCCAATACTTTGGCCACCTGATGCGAAGAGCTGACTCATTTAAAAAGACCCTGATGCTGGGAAAGACTGAAGGCAGGAGGAGAAGGGGATGACAGAGGACTAGATAGTTGAATGGCATCACTGACTCAATGGACACGAGTATGGGTAAGCTCCAGGAGATGATGAAGTACAGGGAAGCCTGGCGTGCTGCAGTCCATGGGGTCTTAAAGAGTCAGACATGACTGAGGGACTGAAAATAATTATTGTTATATAATCATATTATTATATGACATCATAATAATAGTGTATTTAATGTATTTATATTATCATTATATAAACTGTACAGTCTTCTACTAATGTTTCTAAAAATATATGCTACAAAAATCATGCATAAGAATAAAAAAGCATATATACAAGAAAATTCACTGGAAAATTGTTGAAATAGTGAAAAAATTAAAATTAACCTAACAGCTATTAATAGGAAAGTGGTTAGATAAATTATGATATATTCATGCAATGAGAGTCTATAAAGTTATAAAAAGGAACAGTTTATCACTACATTAGAACTGATAGAATATTATTTCATCAAGTATTTTTCAGCAAAAGCAAGTAATAAGGCAATATGCACACATATAACGAATACAATTTGAAGGGATAGATTTCAGAATGTATGTACCTTTATGTTACTGAATGCTAACAATAATTGAAAAGAGTACATTACACTAATAACTATGGCATTAAGAGAAAAAAATAAGGAATACTTTGGTACTTTATAAAATCTACATTTCTTGAGATTTCAACAATAAACATAAATTACTTCTGTGATCCAAAAAATAAATATATACAAATTGTCTGTCAGAGAAATATTTTGGTAATTTTTAATATAGTTTTTCTTTCACAATGCTATGTTGCTCCTCGCTTTTTTCTTTATAATTTTCTAGATTATTTAATTCTATTATATCTTTATCAAAGAATCCATATATTTCCAAAGGAGCTAAATTTTATTGGTTTTCTACCTTTTATGTCTCATGCATAAATTCTTAATAGTTAGATTGATGTTTGGAGCACCATTCATGACTCAAGTTATTTGTGCATATTGCTATCAGGAGAGAAGATTTTCATCAAATAATCATTAATGCTATCTGCTAGTGTGTTCTATAATAAAAAATAGACTCAAAGGAATGTGTTCGTTATCTAACTGATGGAGGTAATCAGTATTAAAAGAGATTTTTGCCTACACTGATCCTGATAATATAATATGGTCATCAAAAATAATAACCAAGTATGTTTCTGTTTGCTTCACTTAGACGCTATCGGTCAGTAAAGTCCTTTGTAACACCATTATGGTGACAAGGCTCATTTCCACTGTCACTTAAAATGACAGCATGCTTCACAGAAAGGAAATATACAAATGCTATTTAACTTAAGTAACTTCAACATTTTGACACTGAAAAATATCACCTTAAAGTTGTGATATAATAGATAAATTGTTTCCACTTCCAAAATAAGGCAGTCTAAATGTCATGAAAATTCTTCTAGGACAAAACATCTAGAAATACTGAATAAAAATAACAGACTACTCTTTCTTTTTTTTGAGGGGGACAATTAACTTATAAGGAAGAAAATTAACTCTTGGAATCCAAACAATTGATAAAATAAGAAACCACAGTGGTAAGAAGCATTAAATATACAATTCTTCTGAAGGCATTGGCCAGCAAGTAATCTAGAATCTCCCTATAAACAGACAGCTGAATAGGACACTAGACCTTTAGCCTAGAAAAAGTGGGAAATAATTTAAAAGGGAACCCTTTAAGGCCTACATTTGCATTAAAATTTTTATTTGAAAACATTCACCTCTGGGAAATAGCAATTTCAATGCACATTGTCTGCTTCAATCTTGTCTCTGGGCAGGGACAAAAGTCTTTTTTTAGGATTTATAATCTCAGGCATATTCTTCTGAGCACTTGGGACTTATTGTTGATCTGGGAAATGCACAGCTAAAAATTAAAAATAAATATAAATCCTTATTAGAGGGAAACACCTTTAACCAAGAGTTCAAATTGTTCCCAAATGTAACATCCAACTGAGAATGAGCTCAGAATCCAAGGAAACATACCGCCATGAGCAAGAATTAGAAGAAAATAAACCAGCATTCTAAATTAGATTCCTTGAACTTCAGATATTGAAATTATTAGACTAGCAAGCAAAATAAAAGAGTGAATAAAAAATATGGCCAAAAAACACGATGCTTTCAGAACATACCAGAAAATTGTATACATAACAAAAAACTTGTTGAAATTATAAATATAATTAGTGAGATTCAACACATTAGATAGTTGAGAAAGAATCAGTTAACTGGAAGATAAAGGCCACAAATTATAGAAAATGTAGCACATAGAGACAGAGAGAGAAACATTATAAATTAGCTAATGACATGAAAGATAAAATAAGAAAGAAGCAATATAAGGAATGGAAGAGATAATACTTAAAGATATTAAGACTGAAGTTTTTATCAAAATAAATTAATATATTTTTAATCCCTAACAGCATAAATAAAAGAAATATTTTTTTAATTAGAAAGTACAGTGAAAGGAAATCTATGCCTAAACACATCAGTATTGAAAGACTACATATATGTATATGTAGTATATGTATATGTGTATATGTATACACATATGTATATGTGTATATATTTATATATATATATAAATGACCTCAGTAATGAAAGGAATGATTGTCTATGGGGGAATAACGGACTGAGAGCACATATTTTAATAGTACAATGAAAACCAAACCCCATGGTATAATATCTTCAAAATGCTGCAGTATAGTAACTGTCAACTTTGAATCATACATCAGCTAAATTAGTATTCAAAAATAATGTATAAAAAATGGCATTTTCATCTAACCCCAAATTTTGAAATCGTGGGGTTTTATAATTAACTATAATTATGTACATACTTGGAGAAGGAAATGGCAACTCACTCCAGTATTCTTACCTGGAGAATTCCATGGACAGAGGAGCCTGATGGGCTGCAGTCCATGGGGTCACAAAGAGTCAGACATAACTGAGCGACTTCACTATCTATATAGTTATAGATGCTATATATATATATATATACTTTTAAAGTATTCAGTGAAAACTTTTGGGAAGATAAATTCACTGAAATAAAACATGATCTGGATCTAAATGAATCTCTACTTATTTCAGGTTAACTAAACATTTTTTCTAATGATAAAGTTGAAAACATAAATAAAATTGGATAACAGCAAGCAGTATAACTTTATATCACTTATTTCTATTAATTTATAGCAACAAGTTTCTATCTTGAACTATGGTGGAATTCTATGCTAAATGTTACAATTATGGAACATATAGAAATATTATAGTATGATTTACATACTTAAAGGCATTTCTTTCCTCTTAAAGTAAGCAAAATAAAGAGAACTAACCTAAAAGTTCTGGGGTCCTTACTACATATGTCCAAACTACTCTATTCTGCTTTTACTAAAACATCAGATTGCTGAACTATCTGTGTTTGGCACTGTTAATTTGACTATTATCTATCAGACATATAATAGACATCATCACAGTATATCTTGCCACAGAATCCAATAAGAATTGTGTTCAATTTATATTTTGCTACATTATTTTGATTTAGGTTTTGATGTGGTTTCACATAATAAACAAAAATATAGCAGAAATATTTTTCTGGCTATGTCTATTCTCCCATTCTTGAATGGAAAGACTTTCTT